TATGATGTTATAAACACATCTGGTGAGGTCTCAGACAAACACACGCAGAGAATTATATGTGATAACACAGGCAGATATGGGGGGTGATGATATAAGCCAGGAGACTCCTGGGACTCCCAGAAATGGGAACAGATGAGAAACTGTGGAGAGACCTCAGTGCCTGATGTAGGACTTCCAGACCCCAGAACTATGGGGAAATAAATTCCTCCTGTGTTCCACCACCCAATCTGTGGTTCCTTGTAATACTCCTAAGAAATGAAGGTACCGGGGGCCCTATTATGATTCTAGAACATTGCTGGACTCTAAGGCAACCAAGAAGAATGGACATGGTCCTGCTTCTCAAAAATAGTTTATACTGGGCCTCCCTGGTGGCCTACAGGTAAAGTCTCAGTGCTATCACCACTATGGCCTGAGTTCGATCCCTGGCCAGGGAGAGGCCCTCATGGCGCAGCAGACCTCTTCTGACTTGCCTGCTGCTCCCCTCAGCAGTGTATTTCGCCAGTCTGCCAGTTCTACTCCCCACTCTGTCTCTGGTGAATCCTCTCACCCCCCACCCCTCTGGCCTGCACCCCAGTTCTTTTACACACACACACACACACACAGGTTTATACTTACCGTATTTACAAGTAGTCAGCTGGGGGCTGGCCTCGCACAGCTCTGCTGAAATAGGAGGAAGGACGCACTGGAGTCTTCAGACGGCTTCATCCAACACCAGTTTCTGACTTGAATCTTGCAAAGGTACAGTTCCTGTCCCATGTGCCGTGAATTAGAAGTGCCAGGTCCATGTGGACTGGAAGGGCAGGGAAGACTTCTGGGAGGAATTATTAACTGAATATGGTCTGGACAGATAGAGGAGTTCAGCTAGACCAGCAGTCGAAAGGGGCACGTTCCAGAGAAAAAGCTCTGCAGGCCAAGACCGGGGACAGACGAGCCATTATTAAGCTCCCATTGTATATTGCAAACTGTAGGTTTTGTGTCAGTTACTCCGCAAACACCCCAGCAAGGTGGCTATTATTTTCCACATTTCAAGCACAGACAGCGAGACTGGGAAGAGGCGGGGTCCCAGTGACCCAGAATTGCTGGTGTTGGGGCATGGGGAGAAGCCAGGTTGGCAGGATGGAGGGTCCCTCTCGACAGGGTTGCGAAAGCCCTTTTCTTTCATTCGCTCTGTCTGCGCCTTTCTAGATGTCCTTTTGGTCGGTTCAGTTAACATGATAGATTATCTGAAAATAAAGTGAAAAAAAAAAAAAAAGATCAAATTCCAGACTGATGTAGCCCAACAGTCGGCGACGATGTCTAGAATGCTGCGCCTATTACTGGGCAGACGGAGCATTTTCTCCACCCTGGATTTGTTGCTCTGGCACCGCGGGCTCCCGTTGGGCCCATCTGCCGGGTAACTTTTCTCTGCGATGGAATCATTAATTCTCTAGCGCTGAGCCCAATTGTGCATCGCGACTTTATGCCATTTTTTAAAAATAAATCTGTCCTGTGCCAATTTCTAATCTACAGAACAGAAAGGACTTTTGAGCCAGCAATTCATCCCCTGTGAAGCTGGAAGCCGAGGCAGTCGGGACAGCAACCTGGGTTTCGTCATCCAAACTTGCCGATGGCCGCCGTCCTGCTTCCTACTGCCTGGAAATTGCAGCAGAGCTGACATTTAGTGAGCTGCGCTGATGCCGTGTTGGGCCAGAGGCCTCATGAGCAATGTCTCATTTTGTCACCAGCACAACCCTCTGACTCAGTGCTCGACATGTATGAGCGGAAATGCCATCTGGAGTGGTAGAGTCTGGAGCCTCCCCGGACACGGTGGACAGGGGGACAGGTGTTCACATCCAGGGCACTCCAAATCCAGTCCATCCCTCGACCGCTCCCCTACACGCCCTTCAGGGTACATAGTAGGTGCTCAAGAAATGATTGGGTTGCTGAACAAAGGATGTTCTGTGTGACATGCATTCTCGGGTTCCTGGTTTGGTGCCTCTGATCATGCCCTTTCGTTTATTCACTCCCTGTGGTCTCTCCTGCCTAAGGATTTGAGAGTTAAAAAAATTAGGGAAGAAAAAAAGAACAAAGTAAGAGAAAGAGAGTGGAAGGAGACCAGGGCAGACTCAGGAATCTGGGCACACGAAGGATGGGCCTCATCCCTGTGTCTGCTCCCAGTGGTCAGATGTCCCGGCAGGCAGAGGAGGGGCTCCGCATGGCCTGGCTTTATAATATGCTCGCAGCCCGCCCGAGGGTGATGCCAGGCAGAGAGCCCAGGACGGAGCCACCTGGTGGGCGGCAACAGTTCCTGGGTCAGCCCTCTCCCTGCTGGGCAGCGGCCTGGGTGGGCTGGGATAGAAGGACCAGGCCTGGGGCCCATGGAGCCTGGACAGTCTCTAGCGGTGGTTGCAGCACGTGATGTGCCCGTGGGTGCTGGAGGCAGGGGGAGGCTGGGTGGTGGAGGACAGAGGGTGGGGGGTGGTGGCTCAGGCGGAGACTGCTGATGTGAAGTCAAGTTGCCGGTTCCTGGACGGAGGTGAAGGACTAGAGCCGAAGGAGATGAAGCCAAAGGGGACGATGAAGCTGGAACAAGGAGGAGCCAAGTGGGCAACCTCAACACACCTGGATTCCAGGGCAGAATGCGGTGACTGCCTGTCTCTGCAGGCGCTTCCCGTGTGGACTTGGGGGACCATGCGAGTGGATTTGAAGAGATGAAGCAGGTGGGCGGGCGATGGGCCTGGCAATGCCCCATCCTAATGCTGGGTTACTGTCTTAGGAGGTCCTGCAAGGGGCTGCGTGGACCCTCCCTCCCTTCCTCCCTCCCTAACAGGTGACCCTGGCCCCCTCACCATTCCCATACGATTTCATGGGAAGCCTTGGCAAGGGGCTGACGGAAACTGCCCAGAGCTGTGTGCCCGAATGCACCAGAAGGAAGCAGCCTTTTGCTTTCAGGATGCGGCCTGTTTGGGAGAGGCCTGGGTCCCGGACAGAAACACAGCACGACCTGTCCCTGGGTGGGTCACAGGCAGGGGAGAGCCGGCTTCCAGGACTCCTGCCTGGAGGAGGCAGCGGCCTGGTGTCGTGGTGCCTGTCGCTCATCAGATCAGTGTCCCTCTGCCCAAGATGCAAGGCCCCTCCCCTGGCAGCTGCGCTTGTTTCCAGAGCAGCCCCTGGAGAGCGGGGACTCCTTTCAAATGGAAGGTCCGCAGGAGCCCTGGCTGGGCGGATCCGCATGATCTGCCTTCCCCTGGCATGATCTGCTTCCCCCTCGCATGACCTGCCTTCCCCTGGCTCGCACCACTTGCCAGTGGAGACTGTTTGTAGACCGTAAAGTGCCAGTGATGACATCAAGGTGACTCCCTCCCGAGACAGGTGTTCGCCGGGGATCCTGCCTGGTGCAGAGGCAGGGCCGAGCCCTGACCTTCAGCGCTCGGCCAGGACCGTCACTGGCCTCAGGACTTGAGGGGCCCAGGGAGAGAGAACGAAGCGCATCATCACACTCAAAGCCACCTCACGCCAGCCGAGAGTTCTAACAGGAGCCCCGAGACCCCACCTCACCTGCTGGAGACCCAGAAGGAAGAAGGTTCTGGGACTACGTGTTGAAAAATAGCCCAGGTCCTGGGTGGGGCAGGAGGCGTCCTCAGCAGGACGGGCAGCAGGAGGACAGAGCTGGAGGGAGCCGGGTGGGTGAGGGAGGGGCAAAGGTCCCAGGGCTCAGCGGAGCGCGGCGCGGAACAGGGAGAAGGAACAGGATCAGGACGTTTGGAGCAAGGAAGGCAGCAGGCACTGAGGGGCTGAAGAGGGGTCTGCACGTTTTCATGTGTTATTATTTGTATTTTTCAGGGCACGGCGCTATACATCAGTGGCTACATGCCCTGCGTCGTGGTCACCATGGAAAGTCTAGTCTCCATCCACCACCTTGCAGGCGACGCTTCACCCATTTTACCTGCCTCTCCCCTGCCCCCCCACACTCCCCAACACTGTTCTGTTGTCAGAGTTTCTGTTCACACCACTCAGCCATAAAAGAAAGATGCACTGTTGCCATTGTGACAACTTGGATGATCTTGAGGGGATGATGCTAAGTGAGGTAAGTCAGAGGAGAAAGACAAATGACTGGATGATTTCACTCATGTAGAAATGAAGAAATTAAGCCAAGCAGCCCACACAACCACGCTCTAGACCCTGACGGCAGATTGGACGTTTGAAAATAGATGCCGGGGAGCTGCTCCATTGTTTGTAACAGGGAGAGCACGTTCTTTCTTAACCCTCGATAGTTTCATGATCATCACTGTTATCATTTCACAGTGAGCACTGGCCCCACTGGACACTCTCACTTCTGGATAGGCCTGAGAGTAAACGGGGTTGTTGTTTAAAATGCGCCAGGATGGACGCACTGCAGGGGTGCAGAGCCAGAACCCCTCCTGCAGTGAGAAGTGCTGCTGATCCAAGTGGGGCAGGAGGCGCCAGAGCAGGGGACGTGAGAGGAGGCAGCTGTCAGGGTCTACGTGCTCATGACTGGTGGACAGTACAGTGTGGTCATTGCAGTTGTGTGTTGGCCTGTTACCCAGGACTCGAGTGACCAACCCTCACCACTGGTGAGCCCCTGGGCCCCCTGGGAGATGGTGGGTGAGGTAGCCCCGGCCCTGCTCAAGGGGCATGCAATCCTGTGTGCCCCGATGCACTTGGAAATCATGTTCAGAGATTTAAAAACGTAATGGCTGGGTTTCACCTCAGGCCAACGGAATCACAAACCCATGGGAAGGTGGAGTTCCTACCCCAGGTGCGAGCTCAGAGATGCAAATATGCCAAAGGCTGGAGGGGGAATGGGGTGATGCTGGGAGTGTGCAGGGAAGGGAGGCTCAGGAGGCCTACTGCTGGATGGAGACCACAAGCAGCACATTAACCGCAGACCAAATCGGGTGCTCACCGAAAAGCCCTTGCAGAACCAACTACATGCTCTGACCCGCCACGGGCTGAGCTTTCTCCAGAGGCCTGCTCCATGCACGGTGTCGTGTGGTGTCCTCAAACGCAAACAACCACAGGCCGGGCAGCTGCAATAACAGAAGTGGATCATCTCGCAAGGTGGAAGATGGAATCCAAGATGCAGGTGTCTGCAGATGGGTCCCTCTGAGACCGGGCGAGGCAGTCTGCCGTGCTCCCCCTGGCTTTGTTAGCTATGAGCAACCTTTCCCCGACAGGCAGAGGCGTCCTCTGCATCCTCCCAGAGTGCTCCCCTTTTGTGGATGTCTGAGCGACCCCATCTCCAGGCAGAACCACATTCTGCGCTCACAACCTTAACCTTATGGAGGGATGGTGTCCAGCCGATAGCAACCCGAGATGAAATTACTGTGGTGGTTATTATTTTTACTCACTTTACAACATCAGGTCCCAGACTCTGCATAACAATGTCTGCATAACCCAATCCTCCCCAAGACACTGCGCGCCGGGTTTGACCTTATTTTGGAAATGGAGACTGCAGACTGCAGAGGGGTATAGTAGCTGGCCTGGAGGTCAGGAGCAGGACGCCACTGGGGAAGACTTCCCGAGCCCAGGCCTGCCTGTGTGTTGTCCTGACCCTCCCATCCAGGATGGGGCACCTGCGCTTGAGCTCGCAAAGCCCTTCCAGCCTTTCTGAGATGCGTATTTTCAGGAGGGGCAGATGGAAAGATTATTTGGTTTTGCCATTCTCAAGAAAACGCAACTGCAGGACTCACAGGAAAGGTATGCACTTATTGAATTAGTAATCGGATCCCGACATACCAGCTGCCTCTCTTTACTCCTAGCTGTTCAAAGCTGGAGGTACAGTATATGCAGGAGGACAGGAGGTTGTGTAATTCTTACAGGAAGAAAGCCAAAAGGAGAAGGGAGAACACAAGCCCCACCGGCACGCGGGCGATCTCGTGCAAGTGAGATGAGTGTTGGGCTGCGTCCTGCGATGGTCATGGAGCGCAGGCCTGCAGGGACGGCTGCTGCCTTTTGCAGCTTTGCAGAGGCCTTTTCTAGACTTTGTGAATTATTAGCTCAGTGAAGCTTTGTTCAAGAAACAGACATGGAGAAGCCATCGAGGCTGCCAGAGGCCTTGCAGCAGGGGCCGTAGACCCCACAGAGATCACGTGGGGCCCACCTGCAGACAGCAGAGGAGATGCGGGAAAGCAGAGGAGGCTCCCCAGTCCACCAACAGGAACAGGGGAAGGAGTCAAGGAAGGCTTCCTGGAGGAGGTGATGGTTGACTCTGCAGATTCAGAATAGCTGGGTAGAGATAAGGCAGGCAACAGAATGAGCAAAGACACCCACACACTGAATGACACCTGCCTTGCAAGGCAACCAGCACACACGGGCATTTTAGTTTGAACTGCAGTGGCATTTCTGGGGAGGTGCACCAAGGTGGTCTTCAAGGGTCAAGACAGAAAACCATCCTTGCTTCTTTCTCTAGAATCTCACAGGGACTGGGATGTTTTCTCCTCCAACATTACAGTTTTGTTTTGGCACAATAGATTCGGAGTTGCCAAATATATATTCAGCTGAATATGAATCAGAAACATCAAAGCACTTGAAGGAACAAATTAATTATTAAAAGCCTATCTATTCAAGCTTAGCACTTAGGAAGTAGCTACAAATTGGTTCTGAGGAGACCAGCAGGGAGACTCAGGACCCATTTGTGAGGTCCCGGGGCCGTCCTTTCTTGCCAAATGTTAGCAGACCCAGGTAATAAAAAGAGAAGTTCACGTAATCTCTGCAAACTATTAAAAGTCTTCCATTACCTTCTCCTGAGATCACCCGAAGATCTGCCAAGCTTGAAGGAACTTCCTGCTGTTGCAAAGTTTTATGCTCTGTCTTCCTGCTGGTTTGTAGAAGTAGCAAGAGGTGTAAATTCAGGGGAAGAATCTGCTGTTCGTACAAATACACGGCCCTCCCCGGTATTGTGCTGGCAGATAAAACAAGAGATACCCCAGAGATACATTTTTCCTTGGAACAAAAGCCTGTTTTCTTTGGAATGTTAATCCTAATGTAGTTTTTAGAATAAAATTAAATATTGATGAAGCTTTTAGAAAAGTTGCGCATCATAATGTGTCTGAATTCCTTGCAAAAACTTTAAGAAACGGGTGATTTTTCTTTCAGAATTACCTGACTGGAAACACTGGCCTTCTCTTCAGATGAGATCTTTGCTGATCAGAGGGACGTCTGCGATGGACGTCACTGTTCAGGCCGGTGCTTTGAACACACGAGTGTTGTTGTTAAGGCGGCACCTTTAGGGGAGCGTGACTGTCTATTATTTGAAAGCAGACCTGTGGGTCATTCCAGAAAAGCAGAAGCCTCTTTAAGTTTTTAAAATGGGAAGACTTCAATGCAGGGAATTAGCGACAGGGGCAATGGAGGACCAGAGAAGCTGAATAGAAGAAATAACAAATGGAACACGGAGACTCAAAGATTAGCAAAAGGGGGAAAGTGGAGATAACCCTAAACTGGTAAGAGGCCAGGGGGCCAGGGGTCCAGGGGGCCGGGGGCCAGGAGGCCAGGGGACCAGGAGGCCAGGAGGCCAGGGGGGCAGGAGGCCAGGGAGCCGGGGGCCAGGAGGCCAGGGGACCAGGAGGCCAGGGGACCAGGAGGCCAGGGGACCAGGAGGCCAGGAGGCCAGGGAGCCAGGGGGCCAGGAGGCCAGGAGGCCAGGGGACCAGGGGCCAGGGGGCCAGGGGACCAGGGGACCAGGAGGCCAGGGAGCCAGGGGACCAGGGGACCAGGAGGCCAGGAGGCCAGGGAGCCAGGGGCCAGGAGGCCAGGAGGCCAGGGGACCAGGGGCCAGGGGGCCAGGGGACCAGGGGGCCAGAGGGGCAGGGGGCCAGCACTGAAGTCCCTTAGTGTCAGCCTGGCGGGGTTCCCTGAAGCAGCACTTCTTGCCCTCCCTTTCCAGGCCCTGTCTTTCTGCACTTCCTTTGACACTTCTTGAACAGGTGGGGAGAGCAGGATGCTAAGAGGACCAGGGCCTGAGTTAGCCTGTCTCCCTACAGAGCACTGTCTGGGCTCCTTTGCCTGGGGTGCAAGACCGCTCACCCATTCGCCAGCCCACTCAGGGCTGCTCACGCCTCCCTCCAGCCCGTTGCCCCGGAGGCACTGGCCCTCTACAGCATCTCTGGATTGATTAGAGAGCCTTCCAGAGCATCAGGTTTTGAGTGATTCATTTCCCCTCCCCTAGACAGAGCTCAGGCTGCTTGCATAGTCCTCTAGGCTATGGCCTCTCAGGGCCTCATGGTCCTTCCAGGTGCCCGAAGCAGAGGCCCAGAGTACGGGGAAGGGTGTGGAGCGTGGGGATCACCCAGCCGCCCTTGTTCTTGGTTAGCCGCGTGACGTGTTCTGGCTGACAGGGCCGTGGTTGAAAACAACGTGCATCCCTCCAGCCTCCTCCCGGCGCCCTGCAATCCCCAGCGGCCAGAGGACAGTAGAGTCACACGGTGGACACAGCCCAGGCCCCCCAGTGGCCCCTGAGGGCAGCCACATTGGAGCGCCATGAATAGAGTGACTGTGTGAGGGAGGAGAAAGCCTTGATGGTGGAAGCTCCTGCACATTTTGTGGCTATTTGTCAACAGGCCACCCATCACAGATACATGCTGATCGCTGCGATGTTGAGATCCACAGGGTGATGCTTAAAATGACCCAGAACCTGCCCCCAGGGAGCTTGTAGCTCAGCGTGGCTGACAACGTCCCCCCAATACCCGGGCAGTGTACAGTGCAGGGTGTTCGGGAGGGCCTGGGTCCGGGTGGAAGGAGAGATGAGTGTGTGCATGAGATGTCAGGGCACTGGTGAGAAAGGGCATAGCTCAAGGTTCTGGAAGGATCCTGGCCTAAGGGAAAGCCAAGGGAAGATGCGAGGGGGGCTTCCTGGAGCAAGGAGCCGTCTCAAGGTGGCCCGGCAGCTGGGCGTGCTGGAGGGAGGTGGGTTATCTGCACAGGCAGTGAATTTAGCCTGTCATAGAGATTAAGACCTATTTGCGAAGCGAATCACCAAATAAATGCGCCTGCCATTTAACTGATACTAGGGAATGATCAAAGGAAATAAAACCAAAAAAGGGAATAAAAAATTCAGAATACAAGGAGGTACCTTCTCAGGAAAGAAGAATATACGTATCTATCAGAAAGAAGCCATGGGGAGTGTCCTAGTTAGAAACTTGACGCAGTTGGCAGGACTGTGAAGGTTTTCCCAGTCTAGCTTCCGTGCGTGGAGCTTTATAAAGGACTTACTCTGTATCCAGTTCCCATTAAGGGGATTCCTCTAAGGCCAGACCCTCCATAGGGGCTGGGAGCTCTTGGGGGCTATCAGGCAGAGGAGAGGCTTTTCACATATTCTATAGAACTGAAAACAATTGATTGGTGGGTCTTGATGGCAAAGCCGGACACAACGTTTGAGAGAAGAGGCACAAATCTATTTCCGGCCCATGGTCGAGAAACCCCATGTGCTGTCGGTGGTTGAGGAGCAGATGATTTATATTTTATAATGCCAACTGTCAGAGTTTCCTTTATGTAAGGATAATAGATTCTACACAGCTACCTTTGTGGAACCTAAAACCATCATCGCTTGGGGCCAGATGTAATGTGCAATAAATAATTTAGCAACAGAGCTCTCTTCATTCTATTTACAGTAAGTTAGAGCGCATCTCTGTGGCCAGCGTGGAACACCACTTAGTGGATGGCAAGATCCAGATCTATCTCCAGCATAAGCCAACTCACACTGAAGGGTTCCAACACTTGCAAACACACTTCAGAGTTAGGAAAGTCTTCCGGTCTCAGAAGCTACATCCTTTTTTGATTTCTGGCTGTGTTTACTCCAAATTAACTCAATGCATGAGATATATCTCTCCTTGTTTGTATCTCTAAATACATTGCTCACCACCTGAATCTTGTGCATTGAACTGTAGTGCCACAGTCCCTGGCTGTGATGTTCATATTTCATGTCTAAAACCTTTTCCTATTCCATATGTCCTCCCCCCAATAATGTCACTGGTCAGGGAGGCCCTTTAACAGAAATGGAAACCAAGGCTTGCTATGCTTAGGGCTTCCCCAACGTGAAATAATTGGTGTCTCCTTTCATGCAAGATGTTTTAATGAGCAACTACTATTTGCAAGGGGTTGTGGTGACAATGAACACTGGGTTCTAATTGTTAGCACACAACCAAGGGGTAGCCAGGGACCCCAAACTGTTAAGGTGTATGCTCTAAAAGGGACCTGGCCATAAGCATGCACAAAGGCAAAGAAAGCAAACTCTTAGTGTGAAATATTCTTAATAGAATTAATATGCAGAGAGAGAGAGAGAAGATAGGATGTTCCTAGAAAGACCACGAAAATTACTTATTCCCTCATGGACAAATAGCCAACCAAATAGGCTCCACCTAACGTGGGGAAACCAAGGCCCAGAAATTTGCTAAAAGACTAAGGTCCTTCTGGCAAGGAACCACAAGAAAGGGGTTAGGCAGATCCCAAGGAGCTGGTACAGAAGGAAACATCCAAAATTCAAAATGTAACATATAGCCCAATATGAGGCCAAGATAATGGCAGCCATTATCTCCACCAAGGACCTGGTCCTTGGCCTCCTCATGAGTCTCACCCACATGTCCCTTCCAAGTGTCTCTGCAAGTCTGTCTTCTCTGTGTCTCCTTCATGTCTCTCCTCCAAGTCCCTCAGTGCAAGTTGAAACCAGAGAAACAAGAAGAGATGGCCCACTTGCCTCCTGTGTCCACCTGGCCTTGGCCTCACCCCTAGTGCCCAGTGACTCCTGATCAGGAAATCTGGTTCCTGGCCTACTGGAACTTATTACCTCAGGCATCTGCAGTGAGTGGGAGCAGGGAATCAACACCCATTCTATGCTCCTCCCTCTTTCATGGAGGTGAGTCTGCCATACAACGTTTAAAAAGACAGAGCTTCCTCATGACTTCATCAAACTTATACTCTAATGATGACGATATGGACTAACATGCACTGATGACTTCATGGCATCTGGAGCAGAGCCGTGGACATGCATGGGGGGCAGTCAGCATGGAGCTGGGGCCCCGTACACTCCTGTGGGCCGAGGCCAGTTCCTGAAGTCGTCCAAAGAGAAGAGGGAAGACTTCAAGGAGAGGTACTAGTGGTGGAAAAGCCACAGCCAGGACTTGTTTGAGCTTGCAAAGATCTCATCAAATGCTAGAAGTCTTTTTCAGATCCACACTTTAGATACTGGTCTCTTTTGCTCTTATGATGGAGAGTTCTGGCGGCGTTTGGCCTGGCTGTGGCTTGAGAAGTCTGGCTCTACTTCCCTGGAAAAGACTCTGTCTTCAGTCTTCGCACACAAGCTGTTCTAGGACATGAGGGACATTAATAACACCCAAGGTAAATACACCCAGGCGTAGGAATTAATTGCACACGATAGCACAGCTTATTTCCTGCAGTGCAATGGAAGCCATAACGTCTTAATTATAATCATGTCATAACCTGGGGTAGGATGGAAGCATGTCATGTTGCCCGACCATTAATAGCAACACACAGTTTGATATACTTTCATATATAATTGCTTGTCAGCCTCTCAGCAACCGTATGAATGGGTGCATTTTATAGCTGAGGTTGCTGAGGTTTTAAGATTCTTGTGCATGTGACTTGGCTGTTGAGCAGGATGACTTGAATCCAAACCTTTTGCCCTAACTATTGCATTTCCCATCGCTAGCATGGATTCTGGAGGCCGCAAGTTTGATTAAATAATGTAATCTATGTAATGTACTTAGGGCAGTGGCTAACACATAGCAAAAGCCACAACCATCCTAGCCATTCTGTTAATCTTCCTTGTTATTATTACCTGGTTCCAGAACAACTTGGTTTAATATGTTAATTGTATGTTAACAGTATTTGACCCTTTTATAAGTTTATTCTGAAACTAGCCATCAGTAGATAAAATCACCAATAAAGGATATATTTTCTTCTTCTTTGATAAATGGAATCAATTAAAATCAGATTAATGGACTTGAACTTCAAGAGAGTCATGAGATTCTATGATAAAGTGATCCCTTTTCTAACAAATCTGCCAACCACACAGAAATAGCTAATATCTGGCATTCATTCATTCAGTCCTTCATTTGCAGCCTAACATGTGCTGGGCACTGGTGGTGCTGCAGGGCGTGTTCTAGATACAGCAGTAGGCAGAACAGGGAAGACTGTGACACACACTGCGTTACCTGTGTCCCTTCACCCAGGGACATACAAATAAAGCAGAAAAGGGCACGGGGAGGGCTGGTGTCTTATAGACAGTGAGCAGTGAAGCCCTCACGGAGGTGACAGCTGTGCCAGGACTGGAAGTGTGGGAGGTGACCCAGGCAGCTTGCCGGGTTAGCGATGTCCTGGACCGCTTCCTGTGTGTCCTCAAATTGCTTCATATTGATTTCTTTGAGGAAAGACACTTTTACAGTTGATTAAGTAAGTAATCATTTCATTCATTTACTAAGCGCTCTACGATGACTTGTTCTGTTCTCAGCCTTGTCCAGGGTGCTGTGGCTTCAGATGAGCGATACACCATCTGGCCATTACTGTGTCATTCAGTGCAACCCGGAGAGCACAAGTCAGTCCACAATGATGACCCGTACGACCAGGGCTGTCCCTCAGGGAACTATGGGAACAGAGGGCGAAGCTCCTAAAGACCCATGTGAGAGAAAGGGTCAGGGTCTCAGATCTGTGGAAAAGTCTCAGGTCTGTCTGAAGTGACAGTCAGAGCCTTAGAAAATGAAGGGACCTTCTCAGGAGCCCCAAGGGAGAGGGGCATTGCAAGTGGAGGACCGAGAACATCAGTGACAGGCACGGTGTGGGGACCGAAGATGGGCAGAGGGCGCCATGTGGGGCCAGAGCCCACAGGGCCTTACCTGCCATAGGGTGTGACTGTTTCCCTGGAGCAGGCAGAGGTCACAGAAGAATTCTGAGCAAGAGAAGAGTAGGGTGTGATGCTGTTTGTTGGTTAGTGTGATGATGTCCACAGCTGGGACCTGGCAGGGACTGGCTCCCTCACAGTACCGGGTCACCAGACCAGCTGGCAGTGTGAGCCATTGTGACGTCAGAGCCACACCAGCGGCCCGGCCCCAACTGGGTCCTGTTTTAGGGTTCCATGACTCACAAAACAATATGCCGTCTCCCCACACACGGAGGCTCGGGCTCATCCTGGTGCACTGGCTTTGCCCTTATAGTGGCCACTGGAAAGCTTGTCCCACATGCTGAACCCTGTTGGCACCCTCAGCTGCTCTCCCCAGGGTAGGCACTGAGGCTATTTCCTTTTGATAGAAGAAGAAACAGACTTTGAGGGGTGTATGCAATGTCTCAAGTCACTCAACGAATCCCAGAGTCCAGACCTAGGTCCAGATTAGGGGACAGCAAACAAGTTGCGCTTGGGTTTTTGTTGTTGTCTTGTGTTTTGCTTTTTTATTCATTTTTGTTTTTTTGACAGTACCCTTAAAAGAAGGAGGTCGGTTGGAAGCTGGAATTATGTGAAAATAAACTACTGTTGAGGAAGTGTTCAGTATAGAAAGGAAGCCTGGAGAAACATTGGTCCTCTGTAAAGAGGATCCCATAAAAAGCTGGTTGGCACAAGAAGTAAAACTCCGGGTCTCTTGGCGATGTCCCAGAAAGATACATTGGTTTGTCAACCATCACTGGGCATCAGCAGATACCAGGGGTGTGTGAAGACCAAAGCAGCTAATCAGATAACTCAGACCCACAAAGAAGTTACCAGAAAGAGAAACCAATATAGCGTCTGCTGAACTGGGCCTGAACTGAGGTCCTTCCTGGCACATTGTAGAAACTAAAACCTCAAAAGCAAATTTGCAGGATTGATTGAACTGAATGGACTGTAAATGTAGGGACTCTATGTGCTTCACATAAAATATCAAAATGGCGGCATCACCGGGAGAGGTTCGTGCGCCCAGCACAGGCATGGCTGCTGCCCTTGGGTCTCCTGCACCTGGCAAGCAGGACAGACACTCTTCAGAGACTGTGGTGCTGCCATCTTGCCCTTGTGGGGTCATCCAGCCTAGATGCTACATTTTGAACTTTAGATCTCGCCTCTCCCCACCCTTCAGGGCCCACCTGGCCTCCCTGCCTGGATGTGACTTGGTTTGTTCTCAGGCAGGTTGCTGCGGGCCCTGGCAGCTCGCACCTGGCCCTGCCTATTTGGCTGGGCGCTTGCCTATGAGGAGATGGGTGATTGCAGAGCTTGATGGGGAGCCTGATCTTAAAATCCTTCCTCCTCCGCTCCTCTTTCTATATGTTAAACACCCTTGAGCCCAGGAGCAGGTGATTTCTCCAGTGCGTGAGTGCCGTGGACCTGCAGACCCTTAGAACAAGCAACGTGGGGCTTTCCCCTTAACGGTTTCAGATGCTTGGGTGTCCCTTGGGTTCACATGGTCAGGTTTGGACCCTGACCTGGACATGAGCCCCTCGTAGCACTTCCAGGGTGGACCTGCGGCACTTTCTACTGGGCCTTCAAATCCAACTCAAGTCCCCTCCTTGTGTTTCTCCCCAGCTGTTCTTCCTACCCTAGGGAAAGTCTTTCTCTTTGCAGAGCTTTTGTTTCCCCTGCCTAGCATGTACTTGGTGGTTTGTTGTTAGCTCCTTTTACCTTGGAGTGGCTCAAAGGTGGTGGTGACTAGGCTTGCTTAGGCTCTGCCATCCCCCTACTCAAGCTCGCTTAGGACCTGCAGGGCAGTGAATTTGGTAAGGAACTAAGTTCGTGATATCATGTACATGGCAATTTACCTAGAGAAAGTGATGATGAGGGAGCCACAGCTTCAATCTCCTCTTCTTTTAGACAGCTATTGTAAGATGTGTGTGTGCACATGAGTGTGTGTGCACATGTTTGCATGCAGGTGCGTTTGAATGTGTGTGTGCACACGCATGTGTGTATACAGAAGGCATTGGAGGACAATAGCTTCTTAGCTAAATTTGGAAATAAATTCGTAGACAGGTAGATGACTGATATTTTTTTAATAATGAGCTCCTCACTTTTCAATTGAATAATATATAGTTACTGACAAAGCGAGGTTAGAAATGTTAATTAAATCCAAATCTAGGTAGTCAGATACCTATTATGTAAGCGTAATTATTTAACTTTTTTTAGTTATCTCATGCTGACTCATGTTCCCCATTAACTGTCTTTCAAATCACAAACTCTTCTGCTTGTCAAACTTTTCAATGCCTAGAGATATTTCTATTTCATCTGCCTTCTCTTGTCAGACCATTTGTGGTTTTCTCTATCTTCCAATTAAGCACTAACACAGATTCGCAGATAATTCATTCAAATGCACATGAACTCAGTAGTCTAGGGAGGAATTTTTAAGGCAAGGGGATTCAGTCTTCATTTTCTTCCATGAGATAACTAAAAAAAGTTCAACAATTAAGCTTACAGGTTTTTCTGTGAACATGTTTGTGATTTCACTCAAGGCTTGACCGCCTGTTCTGGAAAGAAGAGAGAAATGATGATCTTGTGGTGGTTGAAAGTTTAGCAAAATATAAATCATAAGTGAATTTAGATTCACTTGCACAGTCGGAATGTGAGGGAGATCTGAGTGTGACACGTGTCCCTGTGGGTCACCAGGGTTGATTCTGCTGCTGGCTGGCTGGGCGGGTCTTTCCCACAGCTGTGCTGGGCCCAAGAGGCAGGCTTCCCAGAATAGAGACAGAAGGTTGTTTGGCCAAGGGTATGCAAGTAGCTGCGCTCTCCTGCTAGAACCTCCAAACAAGCTCTCACTGTACAGTCTGGTGTTTGTAGGTATAGGGTTGAGATCCCCAGAAAGAAAGTCTGTTGTCCCCACTCATGTAGGTCTTCTAGTTCTCACTGTGTTGACCTTCCCTGCACCATATGTCTTCGTCAGGTCTATGATTTTGGGTGTAGTCACCGTCCATTCTGAGCAGACATCAGAGGTGACAGGGCTGACTATTGGATACCTTGCTTCAAGAGTCTCTGTTTCCCTTTCTCCATCTCTCATTATGTCTAAAATCTCCCCCCACACATACGCACTCCTCAGATACAGTGGTATATCATCTAGACAGGACACAAATTTCAAACCAGAACTCAGAAGGAAAAAGGTCAGCTGAAATCAAAATTTTGACAGCAACAGTGCTGAGAGCTTACTCTATAGCTCGGCTTTCCTGGAACTGACAACTTAGAACTTTTCATAAAGATATTTTACTCACAAGCAGCCAATTGGCAAGACTTCTTTTTGAAAGAAAATGCTTTCATTTAAATAGTTCATAACAGAGTTGGCCTGAGAGAAGTTAACAGTGTCACTCATCCACTCGTTCCGGGCTACTGGCTGAGGGTAGGAATTGAGTATGAATTATTTAGAGAAGTCCAAATGGTAATGGACATGCCTTTGGTTGTGAATTGACAACTCTGCTGGGGGAACTTTTGAGTAAGACCGGAGAAGGTTGCTTAAGTAAAACCAAACATGCATCTTTTTAAACTCATGAACATATTGTAAATTCTTAGAGAACCACCATCTTCTTCCACCCCCAGCAGGCAAGAGAGCAAAGGCACAAAGACATCTGTAGAGGTTTAAAATAAACGAGGCTTTCCACCCCACTGATGACCAAGGAGCCAGGTGAAGAAGAACTAAACCGTGGGTGCCCAGCCTTTGCGTCTTCACAGTGCATTCTTTAAACATCAGGGAAATGATGAAATCACATTATTTGCTCTCCTTTGCACTTACATAGCATCAACTTGTCTTTAGGTCAAGAAAACTTAGGAAATCGTAAGATCTAAGACTATAGATGAAAACCAGAAGCTCCCCATCAAGACTAATTACAGTTTTTGATTTCAGTGACTCATTGTTCCTATCTGCACAAACTAAACTCAAACTTGTGATTGTTGGAACACACACACACAGTAAAATCTGCTGGGCTGCTTCCCAGATTTGGATCCTCATTTTGATTATCTAATAACTTATTTGTCTAACTATTATTGAAACTTTTATTTCATCAACAAGCTTACAACTATTAGTTCCAATAACTCACTCTTTTATAAAAACAGACCCTGTGTTAGCATTTTTTAAGGTCATCAAATGAGAGACACCATTAACTGGGCATTTGTTATAAGCTAGACACTCTGTTAGAGTTTCATATGAACATGGATCATCATAATGCCTTTTAAATAATGATACAAAAAAATGAAAATAGAATCATCCCACGTCTGCAAGTAACCATGGGACCAAGGAGGTGTAGAATCAGAGAAACCACAAAAGTCTTCTTTTTTTACTAATATCGAAAGCTTTTTTAAAGGGTAGCACCCATTTTATACTAAATGTCATGCAAAATACTGAAAGTATAAAACAGAAAAGCATGAACCTAGGAAGAAGACCTCTGAGGGACTCTACCTAGTTAGTCATTGATGGATCAGATCTAATCTTCATGGTTTGTTAGTTAGAAAACTGAGTTCCAGAGAGAGTCTCTGATGGTTCCCAGGGTGCAGAGGATCACAATTAATGGTAAAAGACTGAACGTTTCACTTCAAAGTTCAGAAACCAAGGATGTCTGCTCTGTACTCAAATACTGGAAGGTCAAACCACTACAAGAAAGCAAGAAAAAGAAATAAAAGCCATATAAATTAAGAAAGAATATAATTTGCATATGACATCATTTTCGATTAAAAAAATCTCCAAGGACTAGACCAGGGTGTAGGAGACAAGATCAACACACAGAGTCAATCATATTTATTTTGATTAACAATGGAAATGTGGAAACCAAATTGAAAATACACTATCACTTATGATCGGTCCGAAGGAAAATTGATAGGAATTGCATTACATTTATAGATCAACTTTTGGAAAATTGCCACTTTTATTAAGTTGAATGTTCCAATCTATTAACACTGAGTCCTCTTATCATTTGTTTAGATCATCTTTCATGTCTTTCAACACTCAGTGGTTTCAGTGCGCACGTCTTATTTTAGGTACATGCTGAAGTATTTTCTTTCCTTTTCCTTTTCCTTTTCCTTTTCCTTTTTCTTTTCCTTTTCC